TATATATATGTGTGTGTGTGTGTGTGTGTGTGTGTGTGTGTGTGTGTGTGCATATTATAACTAAAATAAAATAATAATAATATATATATATATATATATATAATAAAAATAAAATAATAATAGATGAATAATAATGAATAACTAAATGAGTAAAGGATAAATTTAAAATGATGGTCCATGAGAATTCAATACTCCATGGGACCACCACTAAACCTCCACGATTTTGCAACAAAACTTATAAATAAAGAAGAAAAAACGAAAAATGAGGTGAGGTGAGGTGAGGTGAGTTGTCTCATAATTGAAGTGAGGTGTCTCATGAGTAAGGATGAGGTGTCTCATAATTGAGGTGAGGTGGCTCATGGAGGCTAGTATTCAAATAAGGAAAAAGACACATGGAAGCCATGTGTCCTATGTATATTGAACCCTACTCTTTATAAATACCCCCATTAAACCCTTAAGCATGACATCAATTGGTCTTCTCCCTCTCTCTCTCCTCTAAACTAAGAGCCTTTCTCTCTTTCCACGTAAGTTCATCTCTCCCTCTTTGTCATGTCAATTTCAATCATGAGCATAATAGTTTCAATGATTTCATCAAATCATCTCATTATTTTGAGTCTCCTTCTCTTGGGCTAGAAGAACAAGCGATACGCCATTGCAGCTGACTCCAATTTTTGACTAGATTCATCACATCTGCAAGGCTATGGATGTCTTATGGCAGCATACGTGGAGGATGTCCAATGATACCGCAGACAGTTTGGCGAAAGAGGGAGCTAGAAGCCATAGTCAGGTCACTCAAGCCAGGTCCACATTCTTTTTTCTGCAAGACCAGTGGAACCTAACCAGTACCTGAACCTTTTGTGTTTAGATACCCTTTTTGGTTACTAGTCGTTTGTATCTTTACTGTAAACGGGCACTCTTTTAAGCCTTTTCTTCCTTTTCCTGCAACTTCCTTGTAAACTTTGTAAGGGGGCATTCATATGCCCATTTTTTGTTACAGGGTCTATTTGACCTATTTTTTACCAAGAGTCCCATCTAGAGGGTACTCCATCTAGAGGGTACTCTTGGATCAATCCCTAACTGTAATCTTTCTCCATATAGCAATACAAAAGTCTAACTTTTCTAGAAAAAAATCATCTCATTATTTTAATGATTTTCATTATCATCTCCTCCTCATCATCCAAGGTTGTTATTATCATCTCATTATTTTAATAATTTTCATTCTCATCTTCTCCCTCATCATGCCTTCATTATCATCTCATTATTTTAATGATTTTCATTCTCATCTCTCTCTAATCATATCTCTCTCATAATGATAGTAATTATTTTTCCTTATTACAAAATATTACCTCCTTATAATAATAGTCTTAATTTCATAACATTCTAATATTTCACTCTCATACCATCCTCATACACGATATTATTCTGTTATAGTAAGCACTGTCATTCTCAGAATATTTCCATAATAGTATTTTCACGAATTATAGTATGATACTCTCGCGCATCATCCTCCCATACTTTGAGCATATTTTCTCTCCATAAAAAGAGAACTCATTTGACCTCTTTTCTCATACTTTAGCTGAACGTCAGTAATAATCTTGTTCTGGCAATAGTAACAACATAGTCATCTCATGACATATAAAAGTAAATGAACTCATTCTCCTGAAAAGTAGTTCGTTTTTAATACAATTGCGATATTTCCGTCCATCATCTTTATTTTATAAGTTTTATGTGTAAGCAATCACAATTTCCTGTAAAATAGTTATTTAAAAACTATTATTTCTATATTTCTGTCTATCAGTATGAATTTTGAAATTGTAAGTATTATGTGCAAGTGGCGTTACTTTTCATGAAAAACAGTTGATTAAAATTTTGTAATTATGTGCTTTAAATTTTACGTATTTCTATAACACGATTTCTATGATACTAGACAGTTGACAATTTTGTAATTACCTATGGATTTCCCTGAGAATTCTTCTATTAATAATAGATTGTTTATCATGTTACATTTCAAGAAGGTTTTTTTGACTGCTACCTTTTTCAAATTATTGCCTAAAATGTTTGACTAGCTACTTATAGAGATTTCAATAAAAGTGGTTCTTATTAATTGGCTCAAATGAATTCATGATAAGGATTTCAATGATATTTCAAATAGATGATATTGATGCTTTCTAATATTTAAAGAGTTACAGAGATAATTTAAGTATAATTAGACCCATCCAGGATACTGGTGGGATATTTGGACTCATCCGATACGCCGGTGAGGTATGATTGGACCTGCGGGGATTGTTTGGACCTATCCGATTATGCTGGTATGGATTATTTGGACTCATCCGATATTCCGGTGTCGTATGATTGGACCTGCAGGGATTGTTTGGACTTATTCGGTTATGCCAGTAGGGATTATTTGGACTCATCCGGTACGACGGTGAGGTATTATTGGACCTGCATGGATTATTTTGACCCATCCAGGACGCTGGTGGGATATATAGGTAACCTATTTGGGATGCCAATAGGGTATTTTGTGGAATCTTTTGAATGATGCATTGATATCAAAATGTTTATATGCATTTCAATCATTTGGATTATGTTTTATGTGTAATATCATATATCTCGATGTCGAGATAATCAATTGGAGGGTTTATCAACATTAAAACAACATTTTTTGATATATTTTTAGGCGCATCTGTAATTCTACATTTTAAGGTTACAACCTTATATAGGAATCATACATTCATAATAACAAGGAAACCTACAGCTTCCACCACAAAAAACCAACACCAAATCCTGGGTATCTCCACAAACAAACAAAATGGTAAGAAAAAATCATAAAAAATAACTCAAAATCACCGTAAAGCATAGATTTTCAACCAAATAAATTGAAAGGGGCTGATGCAAAACCACTAAACAAAATCCTTTAATCCAGACACCCTGTCTTTTTTTTTCTTTATCTAAAAACGAGATCATATACACAGTATTTCAAAAAGCGCTAGGCGGGTCATAAGAGGCTTAGGGGGTCCAGGTCGGCCAGTGCCTAAGTGGGCACCCAGAACCTGGACGGCTCAGTTGAATCTAAAAAGATTCTACAGTTATATATTATATGAAATATATGAATTAAGTATTTAGGGCACATCAGAATTCAAAGTATACTACACATTAGCACACACTCTATAAGCATAACTATAAGTCGGTCTATAATCCATATCCAATTAAAATTTAAAATTTACCATAAATGAAATTTATAACTGACTTTGCCTTCTTCACTGCACTTGATATCTCGGCTAAAGCGCCAAGAGCCTCAAGCATGAGATCTATACAATGTGCTGCACATGGCATCCAAAAGATCTAGGATAAGCTATGCGCAACAAATTAGCTGTAGCAACATTAGGAGCAGCATTGTCTGTGACAACCTGTACAACATGATGCTCCCCAACCTCCTTGATTCCCTTTTCTAAAACTTGGAATATGTAATGGGCAGCATGGATATGATCAGAGACTAGTGTTTCAAAAAGCGTTAGGCGGCTCCTAAGCGGTCGGGGGGGTCCAAGCTGCCCAGCGCTGAGGCAGGCACCCATAACTTGAGCGGCCCAGTAAAAATATTTTTTTATGGGTTTTCTCTCTCTAAAATAGCCTCTAATGTTTAGGTTTCAAATGAACCTAAAACCCACAATTTTGCCTCTTTAGCATTAAACAAATAAACCAAAACTACCCTCAAGGAGCCGCAGTGCCGCCCCTGAGTGGGGCGCTGACCCTAGGGTCCGCCTAGGTGGCCGCCCAGGCGCTGAGCGGTCCGTTTTTGGAAACTATGTCAAACATATCAATAGACCTAAAAAACAGTCCCTAAAGGACAATTCATAAGCAAATTCATCCAACTTCTCTTCCTATTACACTAAGCATCAATCATAATAGAAACCCCATACTGAGCCCATGCATCCTTCTTAAGAATTCAAAAAATAACCCAAAAATACCCTCAAGGAGCCGCAGTTCTTCCCCCGGGTGGGGTGCAGACCCTGGGCGACTGCCTAAGCGGGTTCAGGTGGACGACCGAGGATATCCGCCTAGGTGACCGCCCAGCCGCTTTTTGAAACTATGTCAGAGATATCAACAGACCTCAAAAAACCTGTCCTTAAAGGACAATTCACAAGCAAATTCATCTAACTTCTTCTCTTCCTATCACTCTAAGCATCAGTCATAATAGAAACCTCGTACTGAGCCCATGCAGCCTTCTTAACTTCTACAGCTTCCTTCGTGACATTCACTGTCTTTTTCAAAAGAGGCTCTGAAAGCTCATATGGTGTTGGGGGTTTCATCCCAGGCCCAAATTGGCCAATTGCCTCTATCGCAGCATAGAAGCTATTTAAGCGAGTGATATTGAAAGGAATGGTCGCCTCATAAAAGCATGTAGCAAGATAATAAGCAGCTTTATCTCTCTCATCCTTCTTTATTCTGTTTTCAATGGTGGTTTGCTTCTTTGTTTCTCTCTTGCAACCTCAGGGTTAGACCGAGGCAAAAACTATCCATAGGGCCTCTAACCTGAGGCTTCTTACAACCAAAACTAAAACCAGAAGCAATTACAACTCCCTTTCCCCTAATAATGAATTGTTTTACTTCTACCTCTTAACATCTCTCCCCAATCCCATCTTCATCACTATCATCATCATAATAACTGACCCAAACCCCAGACTTAATCTCTGCTTTGCAGGCAAATCTCCCATCTATTTTTATTTTTACCATATTCAAAAAATTGGTTATTTCCTCTATAACAGCATCAAGAGTCTTTTTAAATGGGGCAACACCCCCTTGATCCGGGTGGTAGCCATATTTTCAACCAGGATCACCACTTCTATTAGATCCCGAAAAAGATATCTCAAAATAATGTAATTTATACAAGCAAAAAAAAAATCACTTACTTTGAGTTTGATTGCTCAATCTCCAAACTTCCACCTCAAATATGCTTCTAATGACTCAAAATCTTCTAAAAAAAAACCCAATAGATTTATAAATATAAAAAATTAAATCTAATATCAATGGATGATGTTTTGATCAATTTCTCATAACTTCCTTTCGATCCTAAATAAATCTCCAAAAAATAGTTTTTTGGAGACTTTCTCTCTCTAAAATGGACTCCAATAAGTTTTAGGTTCCAAATAAACCTAAAACCCCATTTTTGGCCCTTTAATATGAAAAAAATGGAAAAAAAAGTGTTCCCACCAAAAGCAATTTCCGCCCTCCAATAAGTTTTAGGTTTCAAATAAACCTAAAACCCCATTTTTGGCCCTTTAGTGTCAAAACAATGGACCAAAATGCCCCCACCTAAAGCAATTTCTGCCTCTGGGCAGGGCGCTAGACCTGGACGGCCGCACAGAAGGTTTCCTAGCCGCATAGGTGGGCGCCCAAGAGCCACATCCTTTTTAGGGCACCTAGGCCTAGGAGATGCGCCCATGCCCCCAGATCCGCCTAGGCGGCCGCAGACGCTAGGCGATCCACTTTTTGAAACACTGCATATACAGAAAACAAGAATATTATATCGCAGCAGAAGTATAAAAAGTTTTGGTAGAAACAAATGACCAGAAGTGAAACCCTATATACAAACAAACACCAGTCCAATGAAATTTAGGGCTTTTGCCAAAATTCACAATTTACAATTTACAATTGGGACTTTTATAAAAAGCAAGACCACGGAGAAGGAACCCACAAAATCAAATGAATAACAAATAAACATAGAAACAGAATAATGCACCAAAAAAAAGAAGGAAATATGAGCAACCTAGAATTTCTCCCACAGATGGTAAACCAAATCAAGCATTTTTAGCTCTAAACAAATCGATAACAACCAATATCACAGGATCTTAGAAGATCTTCGCTAATTTTTTGAGCAAGAGAAATAGGTTTACAAAACTCTAGCAAGAGAAATAGGTTTACAAAACTCTAGCAAGAGAAATAGGTTTTGTAACAATCCTAAAATTTCAAAAAAAAAAAGAAAAAAAAAGGAGAAAATATGCTTTTAAATAGGTGATGGTCTGTTTGAGTATGATGGTCCTTGGGGACCATCACTATTTTCAAAAGTTTTTACTTGGTTTAAACTTTTGCTTGATGCTGCTTTTGCTGCTTGCTGCTTGCCACGT